TATCTTCCAATGTCCTGTCCCTCCACAAGCGTAACATTTATCGTTCCTTTTATGGTTCACTCGTATTGCTGCAATCTCACGCTCCAGCTCCTCAATCTTCTTCTCGACATTACTTATCTCCTGCTTTTCGCATCCGACCGGAGCTACTGTTCGCGTCATCAGCTGACGAGTCACTTTCGCCAGTTCACTGATATCCATCGGTTGTGCTGCGTTCACCAGTTTCAGCTGTTGGGAGACGGTGGCAGGCACACTCTCGATAAACTGCGACGCCAACAAATGTGCCTCCGACTCCTCACTTAGACGGCAGCGCACGGCGTAACAATTTGGTAAGCTCCACAGCACCAGCGGGTCACCATCGACCGGCAACCTCGCCAACCGGAACTTCTGCAGTACCTCCTCTCTGTCCACTGGGCTGTCGAACTTCGCCGCCAACCGCTCCGTGACTGTCTCCCACGTCGTCTTCTCGCCAGCACCATCCAAGCTGTCATATACAGCCTTCGCCCTGCCTCTCAGCAGCGTTCCCAGCCCTCCCAACTTCGCCTTCGGCTCCTTCACTCCCACCAGCTCCGCCACGGCCTCAAACTCCACCTCTTTCAGAGTTTCTCCATCAAGCATGACTGGGTTGGTGTTCTTCGTGTTATATTTGAGGATGTTGCTTTAGCCCTTGTGTATGTTGAGGCCTCCTGCTTCAGAGACTTCTTCTACACTGGTTATCTTGACCTGTATTTGTTGTTGTATATGGGATAGAAGAGCTAGGTCACCTGTGAAGTCCAAATCGTCTAGCTGCATCCAACTTGTCCATTATATTTTCCGTGATTCCCGTCAGATGTAGAGGCCTTCATAATCCAGTCAACCACCAGAAGAAAGAGAAAAGAAGAGAGTAGGCAGCCTTGTCTTTCTCTGGTCCTCACTTGGAATGCGCCTATCAGCTGCCTTCTATGCACCACTTTGCAGTATAGTCAGTCGTATGAATTCCGTATGATGTTGACGAATTTCTGAGCTACTCCATAGTGTCGAAGAAGTTTCCATAATGTTCTCTTCTCCACACTGTCAAATGCTTTCTCATAATCAAGGAAGTTGATACATAGTGACGATTTCCATTCAATTGATTGTTCAACGATGATCTGTAGTGTCGTGATTTGGTCTGTACAGAACCTGGTCTGTTGATCTCGAAGCTGGGATTTTGTTGAAACATTTATCCGGTTCAGAAACACTGTTGAAAAAGTTTCCTGGTACCGATAGTAGTGTAATGCCTGTATAGTTCTCACATTTACTCAGATTTTCTTTCTTTGGTACGTTGGCGAGGTATCCGTCTTTTCAGTCTGTCAGTAGCACTCGTCCTTCCAAATCTTCCTGAACAGAACGTGGATGGTCCCTGCAGTTCCTTTCATGTCTGACTCCAGTGCTTCAGTTGGTATAGTGTCTGGTTATGCTGCTTTCGCACTCTTGGTTTGTCTGGTGACCATGCTGATTTATTCGATCATTGGTGGAGTGACATCTATAGGAAGGTCTGTGCGTGCTGCCTCGATGTCTGGTGGACTCAATGAAAGTGGCCTGTTCAGGAGCTCCTCGAATGTTTCAACCCATCTATTATACTGTTCTTGAATTTCAGTGATTGGCTTTCCTTTTTTATCCTTGTCGGATCCCTCTGATTTACTGCATTTCCCTTCCAGTTTCTTTGTTGTATCATATTTCCTTCTTTTGGAGCTTTTTCCTCTGATCAATTGCGGTCTCTCGTAGAACTGATCTTTATCATCACCGTTGCTATCATTGGTATTATTTATTTAAACACATAAATATTGGTACAAAGGGGCACCGAATACATACGCGCCATACAATGGGACCACACCCGGAGCCTTTAGACCTAAATGTCTGATCCACAAGGCAGTTAAGCAACGTCAGTTGGTGCAGTCCCATGGTAGCCGGTAGTCGCTGGCCAATAATAGGTTAATACGCCTTTTGTTCCTTATCATGGACAGGACTAACTGAAGAATTACTGATGTATTCTACAAGAGTTCTCCTAAAGATATTGCACAGAATATTTTTTTAAACTTTGCTTGTAAAACCCTATATCATCTTTGTATTTCAGGACGGAAGCGTTAAACTATGGAGTTTAGATAATGAAGAACCTTTGGCCGATATTGAAGGTCACGCACCTCATCGAGTATCCCGCTTAGCTTTCCATCCTTCTGGACGCTTCCTAGCAACTACGTGCTTCGACCACTCGTGGCGCTTATGGGATTTAGAGGCTTGTGAAGAAATTTTACATCAGGAAGGTCATTCCAAGCCGGTATATGATGTAGTTTTCCACCCTGATGGCTCCTTAGCTCTAACCACTGGTTTAGATGGATATGCTCGTGTTTGGGACTTACGAACAGGCCGTTGCATTATGTTCCTAGAAGGTCATCTTGAAGAGTTGCTGGGTGCAGATGTAGCTGATAATGGTTATCATGCAGCCACTTCTAGTGCAGATAACACTGTTCGTATTTGGGATTTACGACAACAACAAGCAATCTATGTAATACCAGCTCATACAAGTGTTGTAAGCAGCGTGCGATTCGAATGTAAGTTGATTATTTTAGAGGAATTTCTGGCAGTATTGCTGGCCAACTTCCAGATAATTGTAAGATGAGCATTTCGTAGGTATGAATTTATTTAATCGAATTGATTTCTCTATCACATTACTAATACTAGGTCGCGTAATTATATTTCGAAAAAGCTATTCACGCACTTTTTCCTGACCATTGCTATTTATATGTGAAATTATTTATGGATGAAACCGGAAATATTTGTTTTTGACTAGATCGACGAGAATGCAGTTCCCTAACTTCTCACAAGTTTATGCACTAGTATAAACTCTACTTGCTATCCCAAGATTGTCGATACTACTCAGTTCCATTACGGTTTTAACTTGTTGAGTCGCGATTTCTGAGAAAAGTTGTGGTCTAAAAGCCGAACATCATGCTTTCTACTTTTGTTCTATTCACAGCACGCAACTGCAACTATATTGTTACCAGTTCGTTTGATAAAACAACCAAAATTTGGGGTCATCCTATCTGGACACCTATCAAAACCCTCGAAGGACATAACAGCAAAGTTGTTTATGCAGATATTTCACCAGACAATAAATACATTGCAACCTGTTCCCACGACCTAACTTATAAACTGTGGAGTAGAGAAGCAAATTGATCCTCATTGTTACAACATATGTTAATAATATTTCTATAATACATTGTAAAATAATTCAATTATACACTCATGGTTCTGATTTCTAAATTTGACTATTCAGCGACTTAGTATTGTTTTCCTAGAAATATGACCTTTAGGTTTGGGGCGAACACGTCTGGATTCTTCAAACCATCACGTACAATGTCAGCTGGCATACAAGTATATTAATAGACGTGGCACTAGCCCGCGAAATCACTGATCATCGGTCTGCGCCATGCCCGTATCCCCAAACTCTTTGGTCAGGCCCACACAATCGCAATGAATAGTCGATCAGTGACATGTTGGCCTTCGTTCTCAGTCCCTCTCCTAAGCCTTCAGTTAGTTAACGATTTCTGTCCATCAATTGTCGTTGCTCGTTTCTAACTATAATTTCGACGTTTTCATTGTTGTCAGTATTGTTCTTTTTTGTATGATTTCCTTATACTCTGCTGACAAAAGGTTCAACGACTTGAAAACCAGTTGCACACTCACGTCAAGTTGTGCGTCGCTACTGACTAACTTATATTCAAATACTGAGTCGGGAATCACCCAACTACATTTCCCACAGCTTTTCAACTGTTATCTAATTTTCTTTCTTAGTCTTCGTCTAGCCCAGGAAATTTCACTTAGTTTCGGGACAAAACCTATTTTCTTAACTTATCGAATATCTGTAGTTTACTTAAATATATCATAAGATAACTCAAATCAGCACAAGATTATTTGCAAATCGTGTCCGAGGTTTAAAGGAATATGAGTACTGGATGATATTCATTCAAATATCAGGAAAAGAATATTTTATCTAGATGTTATTGGTTTCTTTCTATTAATGCCCAAAGTATTTTTAAACGATTTTAACATAAAACGAATAACCCTTGAAGTTCTCAGTTAAAAAAATACCCATTCTGAAATAGATAACTTCTCTTAAACTATACAAATAATACTGCACATTAGGTTATTGACAGATGATTCAAAATCACTGATCAAAGTATTTAACTAAAGAGTTTCATCTAAAGAATCCAGTAAATGGATTTTTATAATGTGGAAAAAGGATACAAACCAGTATAACAGATGAATAACAAATATATCAACAAAATGCACTTCCAAAAATAACCGGAAGAACAGTAAATCAAATGAAAATGAAAAGTACACAAATAACATCTACATGCAATACTGTTGAATATACAACGCATTATGATTATTACAGTAAAAAAACAAACTTTCCTTGCATGTTTTGAAAATAACCACACCGAATTCAGAAATTGCACTAATTTTAAGATGTGGAGGAATTTTCGTTTAAGCAAGGAGTAAAAGTTAGGAGAAGCCTCCAAACACACTGTTAATACTGCACAGGAGTTTGGTTCATGTAAATTGAAAAACTTTGATAAAATACAAATGCGGGTGCTACAAATTATTTTGCATGATAAACAAGTATAAGACAAAAACAACATGATAATTTATGCCGTGAACCTGATGCAGAAAAATCTATAGGAAAATTAACACTCTGTCAATAGGCGCAGTGATTGGAATAAACAAAGTAACGTACGTGTTGTAACAGAAAAATTATATGAAAAAATGGAAGCGAAACTAATATTGCAGGATGAGGTGAATCAGGTCATGGGTTGGAATATTCGCGTTGAGCGAATGAGACTAGAATGGGTAACCCTGAAATCAACGAGTTGTTCAAATTCACTGATATATATATATATATATATATATATATATATATATAGAGAGAGAGAGAGAGAGAGAGAGAGAGAGAGTATGTTCAAAGAAGGGAACGAGAAGACAAATTTTTAGATCAGAGTGGCCGGCACTTCTTGTAATATCATAGATTCAGAAGTGGCATGAACTGTACCGGAAATGGATGTTCTTTTGAAATCTAATGTTGAACTAGCCACACTGGTGTCCAGATTCAAACACTCAGATTTCTGTCTGAGATTTTGGATTTGACTGATTCCCAGCAGTAATCGTGCTGCATCAACAGCCGTCTGTTTACTAATCCAAATAAATAAAAAAGTAAGATTTCACTCGATATTGCAAGGTATGGACACAACTTTATTGTCAAGCAACTAAAATTGGTGACCACATTGCAACTTTCAGCACTGAAGACTGGGACATATAACATTGCTAACAGTAAGTTTTCCAATAATCCACCCGTAGATAAAGCCCATGTCCAAAAAAGATAAAAACTCACAAGTTTAACAGTGACATGAAAACAAGACTTGTATATTTCAGTGAGATCATGAACCGACCTAAGTTCTGTCACCTTTGGAAACCTGGTGGTGATATCTGTTGGTAGTAACATGACGAGCGAAAACATATCAGATGTAGGTTAACCAAAAGTCTACAAGACGATCGTGAGTAGCGGTGGGCGACGAAAGCAAACAAGATGGAAAAGACAGCGGCTGTAGGTAACACAAAACAGCTTTTCAGACTAATAAAAAAAACAGAATTAGAAAATTAAGTGTACGTGAGAGTTTCAGCAAAAGGTCACTCTTATCCGCTCGTTTATAGCGATGGTCGGAACACCAGGGAGCAGTTCATTTGACCTTTAGCTACCCACCATTCCCAAACAGCATGAATAGAACATTGATATGTTTCCTACCAACTCGAGTTGAAGTTCAAAAAGTTATAACTAATCTGAAACGAGGAAGAGTAGCGGATTCAAATGGATTTACTACGGAGGTCTCTAAGGATGGTGGTCCAGTTTTAGCGACTAGGTTGACTAATATTTTAACTAGGGAATTGGACGTAATCCCATTTGACTGCTCGTAATCACTGATCGACCAAATATATAAGGGGTCTAAATCATCCTGTGTACCTCAGAAGTACAAAAACTTTGTGAGAGCTCTTTACTCAACCACGGCTAGTCGAGTCGAACCTTATGGTGAACTGTCATCTGATCTTGCAACCTCAAGTGGTATCTGTCAAGGCTGTCCACTATCGCTATTTTTGTTCAACTTCATTATAGACATACTAGTGGAAATAACGTTCTCGTCGTCTGAATTTTCGGACATCGATCTCCTTACAGGAGGTCCACTTATCGACTTAGAATACGCAGATAACGTAATCTTGTTTGATGAAGACGCTAATAAAATGCAGAGTCTTTTGATAGTGCTGGCCAACAATGCCAGAATGTTTGGGATGCGCTTCTCCTCATCTAAATGCAAGTTGTTGCTTCAGGACTGGCCTGCGTCAACACTTGAACTAAGGATACGATGTGAAGTAACTGAACGCGCCCACAACTCAACGTATCTTGGAAGTCTGATCAGCTTAATGGGTTGGTATCTGATGAAATTTCAGCACGGATTCAGAATGCTCGTTTGGCTTTTACCAACTTACGTCACCTATGACGAACGCGAGATATTCGGGACGAGTATAGTGCGCGGCAGTTCGTTCTGTTCTACTTTACGGCTGCGAAACGTGGCCATTAAGAGTAGAAGGTACTCGTGAGCTACCAGTATTCGACCACAGATGCCTTAGAAATATTGCTCGCATCTTCTGGGATCACCGGGTACACAATAGTGAGGTTAGACGCAGGGTATTAGGTAATGATGGTAAATCAGTTGATGAGGTTGTGAATCTTTATCGACTGAGATGGTTGGGCCACGTGTTACGTATGCCTGAACACCGATTACCACGACGCGCATTGCTGACTGGTGTTGAGGATGGTTGGAAGAAAGTTGAGGTGAGGGCGGCCAAACCAAAACGTGGCATCGGTCTATAAAGTCATTAACTTCTAGTCTGAGCCATGTTGGTAGATGCAGACTACTTGGTTGGAACTCGCATGACTCTCGTAACCAATGGTTGGGGAATCTGGGTGACATGTCTCAGAATCGATCACAACGGTGTAGGTGTATACACTCTCTGTCTTCCCTCAAACTATGAGATTAAAATTATTTCATATCTTTTTTTCTACGTACTAATTCTTTTTTCGTGTATCATGTCCTTGTATGAATTCTCCCTTACTTGGACGTAAGCATATATGTGCCTGGTCCTATGTCGTAGTTGACTGATTAGTTGCCATTTTTGTGATATTAGAAACTAATTTTTGAGATTTTATACCATATGACTGACTTGAAACAGATATATACTCGCTTAAAAAACTAGGATTTAAAATATTAAATACGAATTATAACAGAATCACTATTGATATTTATAACATAAACTAACTTGCGTTTTAAAACAGGCTCCTCTGCTGTCTGTTTATAGGTTTGAATTTTATCACGTTCATCATCAGGAAAACCGTTGTGACTTCTCCCTAACTTAACACCATTAAATGAAGGTTCATCTATTTCCCGCCCAACGGACCACTTCATAGAAGCCCAACCACCAGCGACATCAAGATGTGTCTCCTGTTTTTTTGTTTGAGATCGTTTGTTAAGTTGATGCGATGAGCTTAAGGTCATCCTGTTCCTCCTTACTTGTAATGTGGAAGCGGCACATAAATAACTTTCTTCTTGATCAGAACTAAAATCATAGTCCTCCAAATTAGGAGGCGAACGATCAACGATGTTATCTAAGTGTGTTTGTGTACTTGAAATAGGTTGACGAGAGCGTTTTAATGGTCGGTGATGATTATGATACCGATATCGACCATTCTCAATATCCACAGATTTCTCAGCACTTTCTGGATCAATATCTGACTGACTATTAGGCGAATGGCGACTGTAACGTTCCATTATACTAGATCGAGCACTGGAACTAAAATTTCCTTCCTTTTCATCAAAAATCAATATTCTTGACTCATCATCTAATTCATAATTATAGTATTGAGACTTCTCAAAGTCATCATATGGACGGCGAGGAGCCTTTATAACTCGTTTGGATCTTCGAGTGGGACAACTGTTTAATGAAGATAATTTCATTGATCTCGTTCCCTTACGCTGCTTAACACTACGAGATGAAATTCTAAACGGACGTGTCTTACGAGCTTCGAAGCACGGTGAAACCAGATGCTGGCGACGAGAGCTCCTTTTGCAAAAAGTATATTCGCAATCACAAAGATCCTGACTACCCGAGTCCTTTAATTCATGGTTTCCCCCATCAAAATCCTCTTCACTGTATATATCATTTCCTGATGAACTGAAGCCGTCATCAAATTCATCTGTTTCATAATTAGCATCTGTTTCTAGAACTATGGAATCCACAAAAGCTTTGAGAAGCGGATAGAGGTTCATTAATTCTGACAGTCTACCTGTATAGTAGTTGTCGTTAAATTTATTTACAAGCTGATTTTCTTCAGGTCGGCGCAGTTGGGCTTGGCAATGAGAATATTCATGGTCAATGTACGGGGGTGGTGTGACGTAAACTTCATCTGACGAATAAATTAATGTTTCAGGGTTGGCTGATTTTTTGTCACATGAATCTATATCACTTTCATTTTCCTCGGCAACTGGTGAAGCTGACTTAGAAATCCTAGTAGCCGTTGTCTTAACGAGTGGTCCACCAGCGGGCCCCGGTTCCTGATCACAGTCCAGCATGTTACCAATATCAAGATCATATTCTTTGAGCGCCGAACGAACGTAATTGCTATTAAGGACTTCATAACGCTTAGCCAGGCAGGATTCACAACCAGATGTATTTTCCTTACACTCATTACACTTGCCTATGGAAGACACATGTAACATAATGATTATTAGGTCAAAGAAACACAAGCAATATATTTCACAAACGAAGTCCCTTTTTATACGAAGATCTATATAAAATCTAAGAGAGTACTTAGAACTTTAAAGACTTTATTATTCATTGATCAAACTTAGAATAAATATTAAACTAAGATTCTACTCAAGATCCACTGTATTAATGTCAGCACTTCATCAAGTAAAGCACGGTTAAAGAATATGAAGGAACCTGATAGATCAACTAAATGTTAACTGCAATTAACCTTTACCTAAAATTTAAAAGCCCTAATCTACGTTCTGCTTGAATAAAACACACGGTGTTCCCTTCTGGTTAATTTTACAGTTAAAAATCGCCTAATTATTAAGTTGGACAAGTTGAGAAAATTATATTATAGGTGAGAAGTATTAGTAATCTCTTATTCGCAGCAACATGAATATACATCTTTAGAAAAATGTTGAGGTACAAAGTAATAAGTTCCCAAACTCCAGGGCAATTCACGATTATTCTTCCTAACCAAAAGTCTAATTCATGAAACAGACTGTTTTGTTGCAACTATAGTGTGTAGCACTGGATTTATTATCGTTAAAAGTACCATGAAGTTATAAATGAATTGAATTGCGCACAGAAGCGTTTGCAACCTGCATTCACATATACAAACTTACTTATACGGGTTGGTAACAAGCGTGATTTTCTTTTTTGTTTAGTGACCAGTTTCGCATCATCCAAAATATGAGTACCGATAAAGCCTATAGGGAAGAAATACGCCTAATTTAAATACACTCCGTTATTGGTGAAGATAAGAAGCAAAACCTACTAACTACAATAGACAACTGTTTAAAATTATCGAGACGGTCGTTAGTATAACTATCACAGAGAAAGAGTAAAGACCTTACCTATTCTTTGACTACTTTTCAATTGCTTCAGAGTACTGACCTGTTTCACGAAGAGACTAATAAAATGCATCCCTATGTGCATATTCAGTGATCATATCACAATGTTTTTACGAGGTTTCCTTCTAACATAAAATGTTCTTTGTGTAGTTGTATTTCGATCATATGAATTGAAGTAATTTGATAAGCTAACGTTCTCACTCACTGCTAAATTCTTATTAATTCTTGTGAATGGTGAAACCCAAAAACACCGATTGGATATAGTAGAGGGTGAATATAACCTGCACCAGCACGATCTGTATTACTTTAAGTGTGAAACCCGGCCGTAGCTGCTAATTTGACGTGGTGGTCGGGCTCGCTCATCGTGATGACCCGACCGAGCTATATTGGCTGGAACATATATTTCTGCAGGTTCTACCATACCAAGGCAGGTCGATTGGAGAACAGTAAGACTAAAAACAGCAACTCTAGGTCTGAAGGCGAAGTCGTACTGCTGACTGTAGAGGAGTGTGACAGAAGTAAGGTATTCCCTTCGGACAACCGGTATCTGCCACGATTCTGCCTTCTCACAAGGAAGGAAGGGGTTAAAAAAGGTCACCCCTAGAAACGACAAACCTCACCTTAACTGACGGATTTCCGTCTCCAGCGGCAAGGCTTTTTCAAGGATGGAGCTACCAAGTAAAAACTTACCACAAAAAGATCATGAGTGACCGATCACATACCACCTTACCTCACGGATTCCGTCTCCAGGGGTAAGGCCTTTTGAAGAATAGAGCTAACACGTTAAAAAGGGCCGTGCGCGGCCAGCCTCGAACAGTTGTCCCTTGGGCTCTGTGGTCACGCTCCCGGGTCGTTAAGACCAACACTAATCCGATTTCCTTTTCAGGTTCCTAAAGAAATACCCTTCCACGGTGTGGGCAGCCGGGAAGTGACATCAGCCTCATAACCGTAACAGTACACGAGACCAAGTCGGTTACATTTAAATCTTCTGACTGAGGAACTGACGACGTTGTTTACAAAGGTCTGGGGGCTAGAGAGTGTACCAATGTCATGGAATGAGTCGATAGTTGTCCCTATCTTTAAAAAGGGTTCACGTCGTTCCTGTAACAACTATCGGGGGATAAGTTTACTTCCGATTGCGTCCAAGCTATTGGCTTCCGTCATACTTCGTAGGTTGTTCAAAACCCGAGAAAGATTGACTCGCGAGGAGCAGGCTGGGTTTCGTTCTGGTCGAGGATGTATTGATCATATCTTCACCCTCCGCCAAATGTTAGAACACCACCATACTTATCAAAGGCCAACAATCGTAGTGTTTCTTGACATCAGGGCTGCCTTCGATTCGTTGGACAGGACTGTTCTCTGGGATTGTCTATTGAAGAAGGGTGTGCCTGAGAAGTTTATTAACATCCTAAAAGCCCTATATACAAACACCTCAGGCAGAGTGAGGGCATACAACCACCTCTCTCCATTGTTCCATTCGAGCAGTGGGGTTAGGCAGGGTTGCCCAATCTCACCATTCCTCTTCAACTTTGCCATCGATGACATTCTGGAAACAGCTCTGATGAATGTAAGTAATGGTGGTGTGGATCTGTTGCCTGGAGAAAGACTTCTCGACCTTGAGTATGCGGACGATATTGTCTTACTGTGCGATAATGCCCAAGGCATGCAATCCGCACTTAATCAGTTGGCAATCAGTGTCCGTAGGTATGGTATGTGCTTTGCACCTTCGAAGTGCAAAGTACTTCTACAAGACTGGCAGGATTCCAATCCTGTACTCACCCTGGATGGTGAGCAGATAGACGTAGTTGAGAAGTTCGTGTATCTGGGTAGCTGCATAAGTGCTGGTGGGGGTGTGAGTGATGAGATCAATGCACGAATAGTGAAAGCCAGAGCGGCTTATGCCAATCTGGGCCACCTTTGGCGCCTTCGTGATGTTAGTCTGGCTGTAAAAGGTCGGATCTACAACGCGTCGGTGAGAGCAGTTTTGCTCTATGCTTGTGAAACCTGGCCTCTCCGAGTTGAGGACGTTAGACGACTCTCTGTGTTCGATCATCGCTGTCTCCGAAGGATTGCTGACATTCAGTGGCAACACCATGTCAGTAATGCAGAGGTTCGGCATCGTGTGTTCGGGCACAGAGATGATAATTCAATTGGTGTCACCATCTTGAAACACCGACTTCGGTGGCTTGGACATGTTCTCCGAATGTCGTCCCAGAGAATTCCACGTCGTGCATTATTTGCCGACTCTGGGACTGGTTGGAAGAAGCGGAGAGGTGGTCAGTGCATGACATGGTGTCGTGGTATGAAAGAAAGCTGCAAAGGACTGGCTTGTGTTGGTCCTTCACGACTCCCTGGTTGGGGTCTGAGAGATGGTGCTACACAGTGGCTAGAGACGTTATCAGATATGGCTCAGAATAGAAGCCAGTGGCGATCCTGCTGTAACCTTCTTTTACTTTCTTCATAAAAAGTGGTTGTGTCTCCCTTACCTGAAAGATTTCTTCTGATTGTACCTTTTCGTTCCCCCATTATTACTATTATTATTACTATTACACTACCTTACACCAATCTCTTCGTTGTCGTTCCCTCTTTTTTTACGCTCCTTACCGTTTTTCTTTTTCCTTCTATTTAAATTCTCATTGTTTTGTGTGGCGCATATATATTTGGCGCACTCTTGTACCAATATTTATGTGTTCAAATAAATAATAACTCTCTTATCTCCACAACTAACCGTTCTTACATTCCTTTATCACCTCGCGCCACTAATGCAAACGATTCGAGTACGCGGAACGTTATTCCCGATCTTCTGGAACCACGCTCTAAACTACATGCCTATTCTCCTACTGCAGCTCAGATGAGGAAAAGAGAAGAGCTTTACAGAAAGCTTTCTGACCTCCTCAAAAAAGTTAGGCGCTCTGATGTAGTACTAGTGATTTCAATGCTCAAGTAGGTAAACTAAACAAAAAGGAAAGACACCTGGGTATATCTTATGGTGTCGTGTCTTAAAGAACAGATAATGGCGACCGTTTGTTGCACCTATGCTCAGATAACTGCCTGCAAATACTAACTTTAAGCACAAGCAACAACATCTTTTGACATGTCGACCCCCAAATTCGTCCCAAAGTTGGACCCAACTAGATCACATCGCTATCAGCCACGGATGGAGGGGCTCGATAGACGACTGTCGCCCGTTCGGGAGCACATGCTTGGATTCAGATCATGCTCTGGTGCGAGCGCGAAATCGTCTGCTTCTTAATGGACGTAGGAAAGACAACGTAAAGATACCTCTCAGGTTCCTACTCAATGATAGCCAAGCTAAGAATATATTTCAGGAACAACTAGAAAAACAGTTAGGAAATCATGCAAGTGATGCCCACCCCGAGGCAGCATGCAGTGATATCCGAAAAGCTGTGGAAACAACAGAGATATCTGCTAGTACGGTAAACCATAAGGTTGGGGAGGAAATACTGGATCTCAGCGGCATCTACCACACTGAAGGATGCTTGAAAACATTCCATCTGGCTCTGAATATGACGAAGAGCGCAGTCAGTTTAAGCGCAAACTGATAAGAGGCCTACGCAATGATCGCGAACAGTGGTGGGTAGCGAAAGCAAGAGAGATGGAAAAGGCAGCGGCAATAGGCTACAGCAGACAACTCTTCAGACTTGTCAAGGGAACCGTTATTAGGAACCCGACTGTTAGCAAAACCATCTCGCAAAAAGACGGATATATTATTCACTCTCAATCCAGGAGATTTGATCGATGGGCAGAACACTTTAGGGATCAGTTCAACTGGCCTTCAGTCACACTTCGGTTTCCCACGATCTCCAGTCGACCTAAATGGCAAGTTGATGTAAGTCCTCCAACTCTTTACTAACTTGAAAAAGTTATAGGGACAGTAGCAGGCCCTGACAGGTTTATCCCTGAGATTTTTAAGGATGACGGTCCAGTATTAGCAGTGAGATTGACTGAGGTCTTAGGTAGAATCTGGGAACTGGACGAAATCCCATTTAGTGAAAATTCCCATTTTGCCATTTGGTAATCCCATTTGACTGGTCGATAAGGAAGGACAAAAGTTCTCTTATGGCAATCAAAGAGGAATCAGTTTGACTAATATAGTGTCTAAAATATTAGCTTCAATAATAATTCGACGCCCAAATAAATCTCGTGAAGAGCAGACTAGAGAAAACCAGGCTGGTTTCCGACCTGGACTAATGATAAAGAGTGAAGTAGTTGAGCGGACGACCACCTATCTTGGTAGTCTCATCAGCCTTTGTGGTCTGGTGTGACGAATTCTGAGCACGGATACAGAAGGCTTGACTAGCTTTTGCCAACTTGCGTCATTTATGGCGTAGGCGAAATATCCATCTATCAACCAAAGGAGGACGTGTTTACTGCTCAGCAGTTCGTTCCGTCCTACTTTATGGCAGTGAAACATGGCCGGTAGGAGTAGAGGATATTTGTAGGCTGCTAGTATTTGATCATAGGTGTCTTCGAAAGATTGCTCGTATCCTTGGACCACCAAGTAGATAATTCAGTTGTTAGGATACGGATACTAGGTAAGGATGGCAAATCAATTGATGAATTGGTGAAACTTAGTCAGTTGAGATGGCTGGAACATGTGTTACATGTACCCAACCAACGACTGTCCTGACATGCGGTATTTTATGGTGTATTTCTTTATTTGAACACATAAATATTGGTACAGGAGAGCGCCAATATATATGCGCTACACACAACAATGAGAATTCGACGAGAAAGAAAGCTAGGGTCGGCCGGACCAAAACATGGCACAAATCCATGAAGTCATTGACTAGTGGACTGAACCATGTTAGTAGGTGTAGACTACTTAGTTGGGATCCTCAAGACGATAGCAACCGATGGTTAAAGACCTTGAATGACATGGCTCAAAATCGTTTGCAATGGCGCAGGTGTATCATCCACTCTTTGTTTTCTCCCAAATTCTAATCTTCTTAATTTTTATGTCCTTTTTCTTCTTTCCAAATTTATTTCACCATATTATACTACTACTATGGGATTTGAATCGACAACTGTATCTCTGTGCTAATGTAGTATGGCAACTCGAACTGATGTATGTACTTACGAAGTTTTATGTTGTTGACGACTGAATGACTGAAGAGTGTGAAATAAACAGGCTCCAAATAACAGACATTGAACGACTCAATCAGGATCAGAGTAAACAACATGGATCAACCGAAATGAATGAGCCGTGCTAAGAATTAGTCCATTATTTGAAGTTACCATGGTGCTAGCTTGAGGAAGTGATGACAGAGATAAAAATGATCAGACATGGTTCAAGTTGGTAGTTTTTTTGTTGTTACAGTTGTATTGCACGATACGTCAAATTTAAAAACATTACACGAAGACATGAAACTACTTGGGTAAAATATAGCCAAGAATATGCAAATATTAGACAATTTTCCAGCATTACCCTATATTTAAACCCTTTCACAATCATATAGTGACATAAGAAAGAAACTGGATATTAAATAAAATATCAAATAGTATAAGACTGAAAGAGACTTACTTTCCAAAGCTTCGGACTTCGTTTTACTATACAAAAAAAGATTGTGGATAAGAATGTTCATTAAAATGACAAAACAAGAAAAACACAGTAGTTGTAAAATTACAAGCCCATTTGTAGGACAAAACTAGCTGAAAAACAATACTTTTCCGAAACCGAGCTAAATATGGTCGACTTTCCTTGACAGCGATTTAAAAACTAGTAAGGTTCATTCTCAATAGACTTATCAATGAAATCCAATTAACTTGATATTTTATGAGATGTTCAGTCGGAAAAATTACCATAGTATGTCATAAACCAATGATTTGAATAACAATAAAATGATCATTTTGCTCATTTCACAGAGAAATCATCAGAAATATTAGTTACTGTGATTCCGATTTACGAATGTAGTTCCAGTCCTTAAAAATAAAGGTTCGTAATGTAACTATTTGTTTATCTATACTTGTGATTATATTGTAAGTAAGAGGTTTATCAAGATGTTCAACTCCGGTCCAACATTGTTTTAGGCAGACAATCGCCAAGTACTGGACAAACGTTTCACTCCATTACTAAGAACTTTATTATTCCAGCGTGACGAGTGTACAACACGTTTACAGCTTACTTTCTGATGTGAAAATGTCCTCATATACTGCATAACATTTATATATCCTTGGTGTACACGAACTGAGATGACGTTTAACAATCCCCACATGTTTGTCACTCGTTTAGTGAATGATTTGCACTCTGCCCAAAACATGTCATGTTATGAAAATCAATACACCAAGAACTTTGGCATTCCTACCAATCTCTGAAAATCGTGATTATAAACGTTTTAGATTGTATTAGGAAATACTGACTGAAGTTAGGAAATGAGGTTTCTTGTAAGGTTGAGATCTAACCAATCAGGCTTCGACGTCCACAAGTTAACGGTGATTTTAAGTAAAGGCATAACGAAACAAGCAGTTACATCTCTCTAAATATTAAGCTGGTAAATACGACTAACCTGATCCATCTACAAACATCAAAGAGAACAAGTGACATGCCAGGAAAGACGGTTAAAACCGACAGTTATGCAGTTGACATGGATTTTTATAATAAATTAATCAATAACCAACCTTACACTTGGTCAAGATCATGTTTTAAGATCTTTGATAAGGCAATCTCGTCCCTTGGACCAGCGCTAGCTGAAGCTAAACCCTCACTAACAAAAACTCAAGTAAATGGTGGATAAACTAGAACTTCCAAGCCATATACAAGATAAATTTCAAGGGAAATTACCTCACTGAACTCTCATCTGGGGGTTCTGTTATAGTTGATTGTGACTTAGCAACTGTTTCTTCTCCTTCGTTTAATAAGCGTAAAGTATCCAAATACTTCTCCTCTTCTTCGGCTGGCCATTCAACCTCAGCCGTCGCACCATCAGTGCTGGCAGTGTCTCCAGATGGTGAAGTCCAATATCGGTGATCGGATAAAGGAACATCAGAAGACAAGGTTGCAGCACTCTCCTTACTGGCAGTCATATCATATTCAAATTTTGACGGATCCACAAATGAAGCATCATAAGTTGCCAAGACTTGACCATCGCTAGTATACAATAAACGGATGTGTGGGGTTGACTCAAGTTTATCTTTTCCCAATCCCTCGGCTCGTAAAAGGTGACTAGGAGCGCTATGTGCAAGACCAAAACGTCTAACTGGATATGAAGATGCGGAAGTAACGTTGTTAGAACCATCAGATAAGTGACATCCCACAGCAGTCACATTGGCGAAGTTCCACGGATTTCTTTTAATAGCGTCTAGCAAAGATGCGCGTTCACGAGGTTCAACTGTCCAGAAAGCACCTCGACCGGGGCCCTATTTGAAGATAGAAAGAGACGGAAGAAGAGATGAGAAGTAAGCAACAGAAGTGGTTAATTGTCTACACAACAAGCATTTACATAAATTTTGACAATTAATACGATACGACACGAGTAAGACGGGTGCGTCAGGAAATATTAGTGATATAAAAGGTGCATTTGTTGTGCGTATGACAATCTCTATCACCTCATCATCATCAAGATCCTCATGCTCCTGTTTCTGAGAGCACATCACATCGAGGCTACGACAGTTCAAAATATTAGGTTCATTCTGTGTAAGGGAAGAAAACAAGCTTATGGGTAAATCTCGTATAGTTCCAAAACTAAACACGATAAAAGGACTTAAACTTACACGGCTATCACGAGGTAGGCGCTTGAAAGACTTATTGATCGAAAGATTATGTCTAAGAGAATTTTTCCATCCAACACCAGCATGTTTATAGAATGGGAAATTTGATTCACACCAGTTGTAAATTTGATTGACAGTCATGCATTTTTGTGGAGTAGACTCAATTGCCATAAATATAAGGTGCGTATAGCTGTAATTCGGCTTTGTAAGACCATGGGTGCCAAGAGCAACAGTAGGGTTTGTTGAGAAACGCGATTGTTCGTTATGAGAGAGCTGATCTCCAGAAACAGAAGCAGGTCGTCGGACACATCTGTCTAGGATTGAAAACTGTGATACAGGCATTAGTGAGGTGAACGGTTGACAACAGGCTCCAACGAATCCATGTGCACGATAGCATTGCTCTCGAAATTATCGTCATCCTCCGTTTGTCCGGCGATCGCCGAACTAACGGAATCACTCCCGTCCTCTTCCCCATCTAACGGAGCTATCTGCAAAATATCTCTTTTCTGGAGCCATGCCAAAGAAACCAAATCATTTGGGGTTGAAACTAAATCACTGGAGTGTTTTACAGACCATGTGTCCAGCAAAACACCACTCTTATCAGAATCTGGATTGTTTATGACGGTCATATCAACATCTAATGGAGATAATTTATCGGTATCAGAATAAGAGAATAGAGCATGTGAATGCCTTTTATCCATACAATAATAAAGAGCTGAAATAGAAAGTGACCGAAATATTTGCAAATGAATCTACTGACAAGGTCTATGCACGCTTCAGCAAAAAATAGCATCAAGACACATCATCAAATATTTTATTAACATACCAAGGTGAAAATAACTACCAACCAAGATTTACACCATTATTAGACTTGAAAGACACGAAAGCGTCATTAACAACGACTGCGCCAAACGACTTCCGGTGAAGGAGTATAGAAAAAGCAATTGAAACTTTGATCGAGTGTAACTCATACACTTACGAAAATCGGTACAAGATGCAAATTTCCCATTTAGTAGCTCAGAGTAAATCGCAGTCCAAAAGATAGCTATTATATGACCTAATTTGCAGTTTATTCAAAATATTGCTGGATGAATATATAACTGGTAAACACTTATTTGAGTTCCTGGAATATATTATGGTAACTGGTTACGTTCGGCAAACAACTTTATAGTCATCTGACATTGATGCTGACCTTTTCAGCTTGTATTAACATCATTGACAAGTCGTCCGGTAAACAATCACGGTCATGTTAAGAATGTAGCCGTAAATGAATCCAGAAAATAAATAGCTCTGTAAGTTTTCGACAGTGAACGCTGACCAGATTAGTTTTAGTGGACTCACCTAGCTGAAGGCGCTCGGTCATGCATCCGCACCAGATCACGTGTGGGAATGCCGTGTTCAGCATCTACTGCAATCGCCAGCAAGATTAGATCAGACAATTCTGATATATTAACAATCGTGAAATACAATTTCTGATCTTCTCGATTCTGTCTTTTGATTTCTCTTGGTGGGTACGAGTTATATTAGAAAGTTTTACTGGTAAAAGCGTTGCCAAACACTGAATGCCTGTGCAATCTTCAAGAAGAACCCTTCTTGAGACCGTTCGTCACCTTTGCAATGATAGCTGTACTTCTCTCTTTACATTTTCCATTTTTTCGAACATTTATGACTAAAGCGGCTTACCAAGTTTGATGAAGTTAATTTTTGACTCCGCGGTATCAAAAACATCTATACATCTCATTTGTTGAGGCATAAAAAACCAAGTTGGGAACCACACTGTTTGGGATGAGTTGTGGATTAACTAGAGCCAATCAGGATTCCATCTATGTCCCCATCCGTGTACTTAATATATGAATTCTAATTTTTGTGCGAAGATCAAGTAGGCCCTTCAAAATTAGGATCGTTGTTAACTTAATAAAAAAGCTTTCACATAAATCATCACAATATGTCTTCACAATCTTTTCTTTAAAACGGAACATAAATATCAGAACATCAGAAATAACTTCAAAATATAGTGACATTCGAACAATGATTGAAAACCTGCCTATCCTGTCATACAGATTTGCCCTATTTTTAGCAATCTCACACTCAAGTAATTAGTGTTAAGTTGTCTTTAGTGACCAAATATTTCCCTGCTTATTTTAATCATAACCTGACTCCGGCGAATAGTATGAATCTCGGGTCTAAGAATCTCCGTAACAAAGTTCGAGGTGAAATGTATTTCTATGATGTTTTAGCGAAAAACACCAGTACCATGATTTGAGCAGAATCATCCTATAATGAAAATTTCACTTCCTATCAGTCATCTTTGCTCTTTTTGCAACACAAATGCCACTCTGGCAACATAAACATTGACGTTTACCCAAAAATTGTTCAAGATGATCAATCTTCTTGATATTTCATCCAATTAGTTTCGTTTGTGAATTTAAATGAAGCCAGAAGAAACATGGGTATAGAATGATATAAATTCACTATATTTTGTGGTTTCTCATCAGTTGCTTATGATCGAATATGTTAAAATTTTACATAGAGGTAAGATATAATATGAAACAATTGACATAAGTGAATGCAAAGAACTGGAATGAAGAAGGTTACCAATAATAACTATATATATATCTGTGCTGGAACAGGTCGGAGGTCATGTAGTGTCAAAATAAAAAAAGACGTGAGTGAAGTTCAGAGGTAGATAAATTTTAGATAATTGCGTAGTAATTGAACAAGATTGAAGAATTTACATAATTTGAGAGAATTGAGTTGATGGAGATTTGTGGATGAAGGAGGATTTTAATGTACATAAAATAAGAACTCGGTAATGCAAGAACAACATAACAAAATAAAACTGATGACCAAAAATGAGTAACCAAGGTAGTAAAAGGTTTATTACTGTCTCTCTTTGGATACATCAATCAAGTTTGAGCTTTTTTCACTGCGCTTGCTTCAGGAAGCCGAAGGGAAGCAGTGTGTCTTTGTCTGCTAATAATTTTGAAAGCTTGGGGAATGTCAGTGGTATACCTGGTGTCGAGTAAATGCTGAGTTATTGCACTGTTAAGAGCCGTTACCCCTAGCAGTCTCAATTTCGTTGGGACCTGCTCGGAAATGCGAACGTGTACACTTTTCTCGGTTCTGCCAATGTATGTGTTTTGCACGTACATGCAAATTAATAAATATAGTCGAAGCCACTGAGGAAAGAGGGCCTGTCAAGTTTAGTTTGTTCGGGCAAGCGGTTTGTTTCCCATAATTTTGTCAGCTTCACTAATGGGTAAGTCGCCTTCAACGAGGAATTTATCCTATGACTAATCATTCCAGTGATTTCATATCCTTTAAAGCCCAAGTACTGTATCGTATTTAAGCCAATTGTTGATTTTACCATACTTCTGGATGAACTTCTCCGGATATGCATTTTTAAGTAGGTAATTTTTAATAAGAGCAATTTTACCTTCCAGGCATTTTTTTGGGCAAACTTTACGTGCGCGATCAAACAGAGTTCGTACAATACGCTTTTGCAACTCATTGGACAGAAACCGTTGTAGTTGAGATAAACTCCACTCCTGGTATTTTTGCAGTGAATGTGTCTTTGTAATGTGCTGTCTGAGGTTCTTCTGATTCCAATATCTAGGAAATGTAATGTACCTTCTACTTCGCGTTCCATAGTAAAATCTATATCCTTGTGTGCTTTATTAAACAGACTGAGTAGGTTTATAGAATGCTTGTGATTGTTGCAGAGGAGAAAATTGTCATCAGTATATTTACAGTGGAGTATAGTTTCACCGATTGCGTGCTTGAGCTGTTCCGGGCGTCCTATAAATATGTCGATCAGAATTGGATCCAAAGAGCTACTCATGGCTACTCCATCAATTTGGCGGTACAGTACATGGTTAAATTGAAAATGTATGTTTTTGGTACACAGAAACAGGGCGCCGGTTTCTTACAAATTGGTTCCAGGCACCTTGTCAGCCAGTCTATGGGAGAGTGATTTTGTCATGGATAATATTGAACTCATCGGGATTGTGGGTTTGTGTGGTTCAGGTAGGCCGTATAATTGTGGTCCTTTCGTTTTCAGTTCATTGTACGTATGAATATCTATTAGATTTTTCTTTAGGAGTCCTCTCAGCTTTTTAAAACGACGCTCCTCAGTTATATCTGTTAGGTCTTTCTGAGCATTATCGATGACAAATCTCGTGGAATCATTTAAAATGGACATTACTTTGCTGATGTATTCATCCCTGTTTAGGTTGCCTAAATCGGAACCCTGATCCGGAAGAAGTAGCGATGTTGTTTCGTACTCCATAAATTTTCTCAATGCTTAATAATGACCATTGTTCAACACCTTAGATTGCTAGACTGATATCGTGACTTACTGATTTGTAATATTCGCCAATTTTGGTCTCAACCGACGTTTTTTCGTCATTCATGGGTTATAGGTCTGGTAACATTTTATTTAATACTCGAATCTGGTTTTGGTGTCCATTCTGTTGCATTTTTCCGGAATATGAAATTTAAATCCAAGAGAGAGTGACTCCGTTTCAATCCCTGATATCCAGATTACTTGTGGCACAGCATCAATAAGAAGCTCTGGACTACCCCTCCTCTTTAAGCCAGAACTCAGACTGGTCATCATGAGTGTTCCTCACAAGTGTCAGTCATGACAAAGTCTAACACAAAGGACAAGTTTGTCATATTCAAACTAAGGTTCCGACTGAAGAATGGCCGTCTAGGTGGGTTAGATACGCGCCCTTTCTCAGTTGAAATAAAAACAAAGTGATTGGGTAAAATAAAGGTTCCGCAATTCGTCATAAATTTAAATGTACATTACTACCTAAACAAATATGACCACCCATCTATCCAACCAGTAATTGTTCAGTTCATCAAATCTAATCAAAATAAATAAAGAAATTTATAAAGGATGCGAGGAAATTACCAACAGATTCGTTCAAAAGATAATATTTGGTTGCTTTCAACACAGAGTGTTTCCAAGTAAAACAACATAAATGCAGTTCAGAAAGAAACATGGAAACTTAGAGAAGGCGTGTAAAAATAAAAACTATAATAAAATACAAATATTGCCAACTCAAATGGAATCAACAAGGCTAACAAAATGTACAACTAAAGGAATCAATAGGAAGAAACTGCAAGTGTATACATGAAGGGATTTTCACACACAAAACATCCAAAATGGATCTTACAAAGGGTGTCTTGGAATTTCGATAGTGCAAACGTTAATACAGTTTCAGGCACCAGAGACTAATCACATCACATGTTTAAAATCTAGTTACAAAACAGATTGGAACTCTAATATATACATTTCGGCGTTGTGTTAAATTAAATTGTATCAGTGCATGCCT